TTTTAAACAAAAAAGAATTCCTGATAAAACGAGACTGGACTGAATTTTTTGATTGCTTCTATCAGTAGAACTTGAAAAGTTATAGGTTCCAGAGTGTTACAGCACAGTAACAGACCAATTGCCCAACAGGTTCATGACAGTGTTTATTCTTCACATGAGTCTCCTTTCGCCCTCTTCCTTTAACCCTACCAGTGACGCTTTCAATTCCTTTCTCTCCTTGTACTTATCTAGCTTCTCCTTGAGTCTGTCTGTGCAGTTGATCTCAGGTACTCCTTGTGATAGAGCAGTCCAAGTTCTAAACTATTCTCTGGGTAAGGAGGTTTATCCCGATGTGTTTTTGCGATTTATAGGTCACCATCTTACATTTATGTCCGGAGACAAGATCTGCTTTTACCCTATCAAAGATTGTCAGAATCAGTTCTGTAGTCTTCCTTTTCCTACGAAAAGATGCCCAACTATTTGTGTTAAGATGTGTAGATGCACTTATGAGCATTGTTTATCCATCTGTTAATCAAATGTTGAGGATGCACACTAACTTTAATAAATAGAATTAAATTCTAACATTTTTCTTTATGTACTGCATTGAATGCATATTGTTGTAATTTTGAAGATTGCTATTATCGTGCACCATCTCAAAAGCCTCGCCTGGAATCCTTGTATATTTCTACCCTTTCTCAAACTGCCCTTTCCTTTCCAAGTCCTTGGGCACATCACTGTCATGGCTGCTTTTCTTGCAACCTTGCTGATCAGATATTTATCTCCACTAGTACTGCACTACTTTGTAATCAAACAAAAGCAAAACTTTTCGGTCTAATTTTTAGCTCCACCGAAAATACTCGCCTGTTGGAAGACAATCGGCAGAGTTTGGGTTTCGTGGAGACAGGGTGCAATCGGCTGTTCAGACTGAGCCAGAAGAAGTTAGGTTATATGATATCAAGCATGTTCCAGCACTTATGTTTGAGCATGGACCAAAAGAGACAAGAAATAGGTAGAGAGAGAATCATCTCCTCTACAGTTTCTTTTGCAGTGTGCAGATGGCAAGCTCCTGTAATACTATCAATTGTTAACTATCTTATACTTTTGGAAAAATGCCTGAAGAACGTTTAGTTCTGAAAAGATCTGACAATAAGACTAAGTTAATATGTCATAAACTTTTTGCTCTTTTTTTCCACTCAGGGTAATTGAATGCCAAGGACTTCCTCTTGTAAGTGGACAAAGTGGTGATCCCTATGCCTCTGTTTCTCTGGTCGGCCCTTCTAGGTACAGTGTTGTTTCTAAAATTATATTCTAAAGTTGCAATGAGAAATTATGTTGTGTCTGCACATAGGTAAATGCAATTGCATTACTCTGAACTGGGAAAAGAGCTTCAAAGGAAAAGTTGCCCATTTGCTGCCCAAAAGAAGTTTTTGATGCAGGTGTGGTTCCCTGTGACGCGATAAGATCTGGATTATTTTTCTTCCTGTATTGAATTTTTATTTTCATCTGGTGTGTGATGTGGGAAAGAGAAAACATTTACTTTGATGTAATTTTTCACAGTTGTGGTGAATTGAAAGTCTCACTGTATTTCAAATTAAGAGAACCATAGCGATCAGCTCAAATATTGAATAAGTTTTCATTTTGTTATTATTTGTTAAAGGATGTGGGCATTGCTGGCTCATTTATAGCCCCTTCCGCTACCCTTTTAGTTTGAAGCCTTTTCCACAGCTCTAGTTATGCAGTTCAACCACTGCAATTCAAGTGGAGCCTGTCCCATCAGAACATCTCCTTCCCCAGCACTGTTGCCAATGTTCCAGTGTTTCTCCTACACTGATCTTTGAGCCACACAAGAAATTGCAAACAGCACCCATTCGCACATTTTTTTTTTTTTTTGAAACCTTTAAACGCACAATTGGCTGGCAGCATGTGGGAACCTTTTTGAAGGGGCAACCAAACTGAGTCCATCTGGCCCTTGGACGTAGGAATGGATTAGGAAGCGATCAATGTGCCTCTCTGCTATTTTCCTGGCAGCCTGGTTCCGTGCTTTCATGCCTTCCATTACAGGGTCCATGAGCTTCAACCTTGGGTCTCATCAGGATACTTCATGAAATCTAGAAGTACCGACCCTGGAGTTTAATTTTAGGGCGTATTCCTTATTAAGACTTTAGTGTAAAAATGTCTCTATACTTGTTTTGTTAGGCTGGATCAAAAAAGGACCAAAGTAAAGAAGAAAACCAGCAACCCACAGTTTGATGAAACGTTCTATTTTGAAGTAAGTGGAAGAGGAGGCGGCATACATTCTTCTTCCTTTATTGATGGAATTAACAGCTATGAATGTATGTAACATCTGAATTGAGAGCACTATAACAGACTTTGAATAATTTCTAATGTGGTTCATTGAATCATTCCAGGTAACAAGGAATAGCAGTTACACTAGGAAATCTCATTTTCAAGTTGAAGAGGAAAATATTGAAAAACTGGAAATCAGGTAAATGAAGAACTGAATATGTACAAATGTAAGCTACCAGAAAGGTGCTGAAAAATGTAATCCAAATGGTTTGAATTGGAATTTGGAATGATCCGGTCCATTTCAGATTATAATTTGCTGTCAAAATAACAATGATGCCTGTGTTTGCCACCATTAATTCTGTAGCATATACAACAGCTTCAAATAAGGAACAACTACAGAGTTAAATACAAATATTTGTTGTCACCCAAGTTACGTTGTGAAAAACTTTACGGAACTGTATTTTGCTGTTAAGGATATGATGGAAGTTAGTAGCTGTCAGTCGTTCTGACAATGAAAGTGTAGAATCCCATTTCTTCTTTTTTTAGGAGATTTAAAATATGCCAAACCTTTTCAAAGAAGTTATTTTGTTGCTTTGCCTCATTTTTCTCTCAGGCCTATCTTACTTGGTACATGGAACTACGATGTTGTGGCCATTACAGAAACTTGGGTAACTCCGGGAGAGGAATGGTTGTTGGAAGTTCCAGGATTTAGATGCTTTAAAAGAAATAGGGAGGGTGGTAAAAGAGGCGGGGGGAGTGGCATTGCTAGTCAGGGCTAGTACAGCAGCTACTGAAAGGCAGTTTGAGAATGATATGTCTACAGAGTCAGTTTGGGTTGAGGTCCAGAACAAGAAAGGAGCAGTCGCTTTGTTGGGGGTTTTTTACAGACCCCCTAATAGTTGCAGAGAAGTAGAGGAGCGGATTGGGAGGCAGATACTGGAAAGGTGCAGAAGTCACAGGGTTGTAGTCATGGGTGACTTCAACTTTCCAAATATTGATTGGAAACATTTTAGTTCTAATAGTTTAGATGGAGTGGATTTTGTCCAGTGCGTTCAGGAAGGATTCCTGACACAATATGTAGATAGACCAACACGAGGAGAGGCCACTTTGGATTTGGTGCTTGGCAGTGAACCGGGCCAAGTTTTAGACCTGTTGGTAGGAGAGCATTTTGGCGGTAGCGATCATAACCCTGTTACTTTTACAATAGTCATGGAAAAGGATAGGTACATACAGCAGGGTAAGATTTATAATTGGGGGAAGGGCAATTACAATTCTGTTAGGCAAGAACTGGGTAACATAAAATGGGAACAGATGCTGTCAGGGAAGAGCACTATTGAAATGTGGAGATTGTTTAAGGAATGCATACTGCGTGTGCTCGATATGTTTGTCCTTGGCAGGCAGGGAGGATGTGGTCGAGTGAGGAAACCTTGGTTCTCAAGAGGTCGAACGACTGGTTAAGAGGAAAAAGAATGCTTATGTAAGGTTTAGGAAACAAGGAACGGGAAAGGCTCTCGAGGGATACAAGTTATCCAGGAAGGAGCTGAAAAAAGAGCTTAGGAGAGCTATAAGAGGGCATGAGAAAACCTTGGCAGATAGGATCAAGGAAAACTCCAAGGCTTTTTGTATGTACGTGGGGAATAAGAGAATGACCAGAGAAAGGGTAGGGCCGATCAAGGATTGTAAAGGGAATTTGTGCACGGAGCCTAAAGAGATAGGAGAGGTCCTTAATGAATACTTTCCTTCAGTATTCATAACTGAGAGGGACCTAGTTGTAGAGGAGGACAGTGTAAAACAGGCTGGTAGGCTAGAGGAGGTCGATGTTAGTAAGGAAGACGTGCGAGGAACTTGAAGATAGATAAGTCCCCCAGGCCTGATGGGATTTATCCAAGGATTCTATGGGAAGCGAGGGAAGAGATCGCAGGGCCTTTGGCGATGATCTTTTCGTCCTCACTGTCCACGGGTATGGTGCCGCAAGATTGGAGAGAGGCAAACGTCATTCCCTTGTTCAAAAAAGGGAATAGGGATAACCCCGGAAATTACAGGCCAGTTAGTCTTACATCAGTGGTGGGCAAATTATTGGAAAGGGGTCTGAGAGATAGGATTTATGATCACTTGGAAAGGCACAGTGTGATTCGTGATAGTCAGCATGGATTTGTGAGGGGTAGATCATGCCTCACAAACCTTATTGAATTCTTTGAAGAGGTGACCAAACACGTCGATGAAGGTAGAGCAGTGGATGTGGTATACATGGATTTAAGTAAGTCATTTGATAAGGTTCCCCATGGTAGGCTCATGGGATTGGGGGAAATGTGGCAGATTGGATTCAGAATTGGCTGACCCTTAAAAGACAAAGGGTGGTAGTGGACGGAAAATATTCAACATGGTGCTCAGTTACGAGTGGTGTACCACAAGGATCTGTCCTGGGTCCTCTTCTATTTGTGATTTTTGTAAATGATTTGGATGAAGGAGTGGAAGGGTGAATTAGCAAGTTCACGGACGATACAAAGGTGGGTCGCGTTGTGGACAGTGCGGAGAGCTGTTCTAGGTTACAAAGGGACATTGATAGGATGCAGAGCTGGGCTGAGAAGTGGCAGATGGAGTTTAACCCTGAAAAGTGTGAGGCGATTCATTTTGGAAGGACAAACTTGAAAGCAGAATACAGGGTTAACGGAAAGATTCTTGGCAGTGTGGAAGAGCAGAGGGATCTTGGGGTTCATGTTCACAGTTCCCTGAAAGCTGCCACCCAGGTGGATAGAGTTGTTAAGAAGGCGTATGGTGTGTTAGCTTTCATTAATAGAGGGATTGAGTTCAAGAGCCGTGAAGTTATGCGCCAGCTATACCAAAGCCTGGTTCGGCCACATCTGGAGTATTGTGTCCAGTTCTGGTCACCTCATTACAGGAAAGATGTGGAGGCATTGGAAAAGGTTGCAGAGGAGATTTACCAGGATGTTGCCTGGAATGGAGGGAAGATCTTACGAGGAAAGGTTGAGAGAACTAGGGCTTTTCTCTTTAGAACGACGAATGATGAGAGGTGACTTGATAGAGGTGTACAAAATGATCAGAGGTATAGATAGAGTAGACAGCCAGAGACTTTTTCCTAGGGTGGAGGTAGCTATTACGAGCGGGCATAGTTTTAAAGTGAAAGCAGGTAGATACAGGGCAGACGTCAGAGGTAGGTTGTTTATTCAGAGTGGTAGGGGCGTGGAATGCATTGCCAGAGAGGGTAGTGGAGTCGGCCTCATTAGGGGCATTTAAGCGGCTGTTAGATAGGCATGAGGGTGATAGTATAAGGTAGGGGTGGAGGTTAGATAGACCTTAGGATTAGGGTAAAAGTTTAGCACAACATCGTGGGCCAAAGGGCCTGTACTATGCTGTACTGTTCTATGATCTATGTTACTGTCCATCTTCTGATTGTCTTTCTGTGCCTGATCTGAAATTGAATTCCCCTCCTTCAATTCATCCTCTTCTCACTATTTAGTTTCCAGTCTGTAAGTCTCATTGGTTAAGGCCATATTCTATTTGACATCCTTTTCAGTAGATCCAAGATTCCCTGTTTTTGTTACTGTACTATTTTCATTTCCTACTTTCAGCATTAACAGTTAAAAGATTTTTGAACCGAAAAGGGGCGAGGACAGATTTTCTTAGTGACAGAAGTTGTTTGCATTGTTGCAGCAAAATCTGACACAATCTTTTAGACCAGGAAGTGGTGAAAACCTGAAACAGAAACAGAAATTGCGGCGAAACTCAACTTCATTCAAACTTGTGACTCTTCTGATGAAGAGTCACTGGACTTGAAATGTTTTCTCTGCTTTCTCAGATGCTGCCAGACCAGCTGAGTTTCACCATCAATTTCTGTTTTTGTTTCAGATCTCCAGCATCCACAATCCTTTATTATATTGGAACAATCACGAGTGAATAGCTTTTCACTAAGATCTTTGACTCTATAGAAGGACCCTAATGATCATTTGACGATAGTTAAAATTATTGCTGCAAGTAAAATGCTTCAAAATAATTCTTCAACAGAAGGTTCCATCCACTGCAGTGAGTTGGTGGGTTGGCAATGCTAAATTGCTCATAGTCTCCAGGGATGAGCAGTTTAGGTGGAATAGCCATGGCAAATGCAGCGATAGGATTGGGTTTGGGGGTGTTGGGTAGTAGGTGGGCCTGGCTGGGATACACTTTGGAGGGTTGGTGGACTTGATGGGCTGAGTGGCGTGTTTCCACACTGTAGAGATTCTATTAATATTCAACTAATGTTTCAGCAGTACTGTGTTGTGGTCTAATTTTTGGGAGGAATCCAGGCAATTAAAAAGGATAAATATATTTTGAAATTAGTTTGTTAGGGAAAGTTATCAATATTCGTCTTCTTTCTACTGCCCTTTTTCTGCTGTCGATTGGGGTCCACTGTCAGTGAGGTAAGATGATTGACTCAGTGATAAATATCTTGCATGTTGTGTTACTGTGGTGTATTTTTCAATAATTTTGGATGCTGTGTTTTTAACTGCATGCAAGAAGTTTGACTTTTTAATTTTTTTTGGTGAGTGGTATTTGATCCTTGGAATTCATATTACATAATTTGGCTGAGTTTTAATTTTAAGCAGAGCTCGCCAAATAACCATAATTTTGTAAATCTTGGCTTTTTTTTCTCCCGGCCTTCTGTCGCCCTGGAATGGTTTGGTGTGGTGTTCTTCTTTACACAGGAATTCATGAATCATTTTATGACAGTACCTCCTACAATGAGTTATTTCCAGAGTTTACTATCATGCAGCAAATATTTTATGCCAGCAACATATAGAAAACAGCGACAACAAGTTGAATACCTGGTTAGCATGTAACTTTGAGGACACAGGCAGTCCCCGATTTATGAATGTCTGACTTGAGTGCTCATATTTATGAACAATATTCCATAATAATTTTAAAGATTTGACGTGAACATTTTCTCATACTTCGGAACAGCTATTTTATACTAATACAGAATTATGTTCCAACTTGTGTGCAAATTGATTTAGACCGTACTCCAGAATGGAACCCATTCGTAACATGGGACTGCTTGCAGTTGGTTAAGTGCAGCATATTCAAGGTAATACAAGTAAGGCCCAACTGTCGCATTTAACCAGGAATTAATCCAGAGAGTATCTGAGCAGTATGACAAGTAACATACAATAATTCTTCCTCTAACCTCCCTGATAACAACCACAGTCTGCATTGTTTCACAGTTTCTATCCTGATAATATTAGACATCCACTCTTCTAGTCAACCCTTCCTTCATGCAGAACCACAGAAAATTAAATGGTATTAGAAGATTTTTTTTTTGCTCAATATTCCTACAGAGCGCAAAAAGACTTATTTATTTTAATGCTGAGTCTTGTATATACCAGTACCAATAGGGGTGGCATTTCCTTTACTTGAAGAACACTTAGTGAGCATCCATCAGCTTTTATGCTCTCTTTCTGATACTAGATTTACCTAACTTGTTGAATGCAATTTTGCCTAGTTATGTTTTGAGCCCTCAACCCCTGGGTTGATTCAGTTTAATAACTATCACATTGGTGTCCCCTATTCTGTATGCTGCAAATAATATTTAAGATTAGTTTGCCTGAGGCGTTTGGAAGTTGGTAGTAAGGGGGCTAGAGGGAACTTTATGTTCTGCATCTTTTCAGCATGTCAGAATCTTGTGATATACCCTCTAATATTTTTGAATGTTAATGTAAATGATCAAAATCAATATGTAGGAGATGAATAATAGAGTCTTAATTTGTTCACTGACGTAATTTGTTTCCGTGGCAAGTCTGTTATAACCGGGATATTGGGATCCAAACAAGTGAGATGATATTTTGTCGGACATTGCATGTAAAACTCCTTACCACCTCCTATTTCTCTAGTATAATGAAGATTTAAATAAAGCTTGACACTTTTTTTTTTAAAGCTTTGTAAGCCCAGCATTTAAGTAAATTTCTGATATACAGAATTGCATTATAACTGACCTCCACTGCATTTCAAAGCATGACAATGAAACTCAACACAAACTATTTTGGATTATACTCATTGTTTACCATTTGGTCTTGTGAATTATGTTTTGTATTCTCTGAATGAAAATCCAGATTTATCTGTATCAATCATGGAGATGTCCACGCTGCTAGGATGAAACTCAGCACAGCTGAAGAAAATCTATTATACCTCCATATGGCTCATTGATATAACAAGGAAAATGTGTGCCTCCAAACACTGTTGATCTTGGATCACTCATCATGCAAGGCACAGAGTCTACCAAGAAACTTAGCTTCGACTTAATAAGGTCATAGCGTCATGAAGTCACTTACAAGACTATAGAGTAGTTGCACTATCTTGATTGCAACAGAGATTTTTATGCTGGAAATCCTTATGTGGTCAGTGACAATGTATGACTGTGAAAGCTGGACCATAACATAGAGTGACTATTCTCGAATATGAGTATCTGAAATGAAGGAGTTTGGGCACTTCTTAGATGTGTCAAGGCATGAGGAAGTGTTGGATGTGGGCACGATTACAATGTTTAAAAGACAGTTGGATAAGTACATGAATAGGAAAGATTGAGGGATATGGGCCCGGAGCAGGCAAATGGGACTAGGATAGTTTGGTATTATGTTCAGCATGGACTGGTTGGACCAAAGGGTCTGTTTCTGTGCTGTATGACTCTGACAACCAATAGACAAATGAGTGAGTTCTTGAGGAAGCTTGTGTGAAGAGAAATTTGTTTGCTGCAGTGATATCAAGAAAGTTCGCTCACTTTGGGCATGTGATGTGAGGGATGGGGTGGTGTTTGGGGAAAGAAAAAAGCCTAATACCTCAAAAGCATGCACAAAGAGATCCAAGATGGCATGGATCAACAATATCGAAATCTAGACTGACCTTTCTGTGAAACAGGAGGTGAGGGCAGTAGAAAATGGAATTCAATGTTGAAAGATTGTTCATAGTGTGACCATCTGCAGATTGAGGATAGATGATAGACACAACACCATCGATGTCATAGCCCTTGCCAAAGTTGATTACTTTGAAAAACCCATTTTATTTTTAAATTTCATTTCTTCCTGAAATTAAATATTTTATGACTTTGTTTTGTTATATCCAGTAACAAATTTATTTGATTGAACATGAAAACCAAAATATCCAATAAGTAGGCAGTTGTTCACTTGAATGCTTAAAACTTGAATGAAGAGTCACAATTCTGAGTTACACTGAATGGAATGTTAATTTATTTAATACAATGTAGCAAACATGGTGGCATATTTGTTGACAACTGTCAAGGCAGTCATGCCCATTATTTGTCAGTTCTGTTGAAGGAAATGTGCTGTGTTGAGTCTCAACTTGACATTGTTCTGCATATTTATATGTAGTGCATATTTTGTAGCTTTTCCACGGATTTAATGCCACCTTAAATCATAGTGGGCATCTGACTTGGTTATTGGACTGAACGAAAATATCTGCCTTATAAATAGATCTAATAAATTTGTTCAATTCTGATGGTTATGTGATATAGAAAAAATATCAGCAGAGCTTAGTGATCTCTCTTTTTTGGCCAAGTGCTGACTGAAGTAGAGATTCTCATTGTGATTTCTAACACAGATTTTCTTTACAACCTTCTTTCTCAACTGGAAAATTTCAGATTTACTTAAAACCACCCAAACCTGGTAATGAAGCAGGCAGGACCATATTACTTCCGTTATGTAAGGCAAAAGTGGTGTATAACTGAAAGATGGGGCTAGCACCTCCGTTTTGGTGCTCTTAGCATTGTAAATCTCACTCCTTTCTTCTATTGCACATTTCACTTTAATGTGCTTAAACTTCAAATTAATATGTTTGTATAAATGCATCAAGCTGAATTGTTAAAATAACTAATCGTGTAAATAATGATGATAAGTATTTTAACTGTTTTAAATGTTGCTGAGTTCCAAATTCTATTTTCCTAAATGTTTTTCCACACCAGATGTTGGTGTATTGGCACCATTCTTTTGCAAGATACAATTTACCTCATTGGCCCTGAAGTCTAGATTGTAGCAAAATTGCCGTTAATTGAAAGAAACTGAATTGTCAATTAAGTTTTATTTATACTTAAGTTAATTACAGATGTGTTTGTAAAATCTTCTTTTTGGTTATAATTTCCGATTTCCTATGATTGCGTAGCCCTTTAATTCATGGTGAATCTTTGAAAAATTAGCTTTGTGTTTCAATTGTGGTATGTCATTAATGATTTTCTTTTTTATTAGCTACATACCTTTAATCTGATCTATAATCTAACAGCCTTTACAGATTAAAAGCTGTGAGCCAGAAGATGAAAGTCTTTCATATTGTGAGATTGACTGATTTTTATTTTCTTCAGAGTTGATCTGTGGAACAATGAAAACCTAGTGCAAGATATTTTCCTTGGTGAGATTAGAGTTCCTGTGAAAATTTTAAAGAATGACAACTGCCATCGGGCATGGTAAGAGTTCATATACAAACTCCTAATTTCCTTAAGGTAGATGAGATTTCATTCTTGTTGCAGTTAAAGGGATGTCTTATTGCTCCAAAAATCTCTTGTAATGACACATTTATAAATTTGTTTTGACAGGCCTTGTTTTCAAAATACAAGACCTTCCGTGCAATAACTTATGTTTTGACTTTAAATTCTCACTAAAGTGCATCCCTTTGATTTGAGTAACAGCATTAGAATGGCAAGAATTTTGGCAGCGTTGGCCAGGCCACCCTTAAATTTTTCCATAATTCTCAGCAACACTGGTGACCTGAGGAAGTGTTTTGATCAAAGGACTAAAAATCAGTTGGTTAACAGTGAGTACTGAGATGTGATTTGATATAAAGCAAACGCTATGCTTTATTTCTTGATGTACCCATCATTAGAATGAGGGAGAATTGATGAGATGAATCCTGTTACAAATAATTCAGTCTTAGTTTGCAGAAGACTATTTAAATTGCTGCTTTTTTTCTTTTCCACTCCTCCCTGGTCACTCTTAAAAGTGATAAGCAGACATCTATTAATATTTATAAACTTCAGTCTGCAAATGTAGAACACTAACATATTTTTAAATGCAGCAAACAGGATGCTGGAGAAATTCAGGTCTGGCAGCATCTGCCGAGAAAGAAACAGTTAATTACGTGTGGCTCTTCAGAACTAACATTTTTATCTTCATCCCTCCATCACATTAAAACTGACATTACTAGTGTTTTAGATCTGAACTTGAATGTCCGCTGACCTTCTCCGTACAGTACCTACATATTTGGCTGTGCCACTTAATGTCATTAAGTAGTCCTCCTTAGTATTGCAAAGAGAACAATTGATGGCACTCTCCTAATGTAATGTGTTTCAGATAGGATTTAGCTTTATTTCTTCTGCAGTGGAGCAAATTTGAAACAGTTGTTCACACGTGATATTTTTATTCCAAACAATTTCAGAAAATTGTTTTGTTTGTTTTATCCTACTTTTATGTCATATTTGCATTTTCCATAAAATATTTTTGCCTCATTGGCATCCACTGATACTGACACACCACATTAATTTGTATTGTGTTGGAGTCATTTAATATATTTGTCCCATTGCTTGCAAACGAGAATCAACTAAGAAAGTAATTGATTTTGTTTTTGCTTGAGGACTACAGGATGTTGGTTACTGTTTTTGGTAAATATAATCCAGTGTATTGCAACTCAACAGGAAGAAACTGTAATCTGATATTTGATTTACATGTTGTAACTGTATTGTCTCTCTTGCATCCTGTACTGAAATGAGAAACTGGGTCAGGATGACTGTTTTTCATCATATGCAACATGTCAATGTTACAACAACAGTTAGAGTACAAGAGAAACCAGATCAGAGCAAAGTATTGGAAGGACTAGGAGACAGTAAGGACTGCAGATGCTGAAAGCCAGAGTCAGTAAACATGGAGCTGGACAAACAGGTCAGACAGCATCAGAGGAGAGAAAAGTCAACATTTCGGGTTGAAACCCTTTTGTCAGGACTGGGGAAGGGGAGGAGAGCCCAGAAATAGAGTGTGGGAGCTGAGAAAGGTAGGTGGGATGGTGATAGTGGATGCAGGTAAAGGGTTATAGTGATTGGTCAGTGGGATGGGTGGAGCAGATAGGTGAGTAGGAAGATGGACAGGTTAGGTCAGGTCAGGGAGGCGGGACATGGGATTAGGCTGGGGTTGGGGGTGGTATTGAGGCTGGTGAAATCAATAGTTAGGCCCTTAGGCTGTAAGCTCCCAAGACGAAATATCAGGTATTGTTCCTCCTGTTTACGTTTGGCCTCCCGCTGACAGTGGAGGAGGCCAAAGCATGTTGCCAGGCAAGTGGAAGGGGGAATTAAAATGGATGGCAACCAGAAAGTCGGGTTGGTTGGTGCATGCAAAGTGCAGATGCTCTGTGAACCAGTCCCCGAGTCTGCTTTTGGTCTCCCAATCAGGAGCAACGGATGCCATAAATCAGGTTGGATGAGGTGCAAGTGAATCTCTGCCAAATGTGGAAGGATTGTTTGGAATCTTGGATGGAGGCGAGTGGGGAGGTGTAGGGGCAGGGGCTTCACTGCTTGCAGTTCCAGGGAGGGTACCGGGTGTGGTGGAGGGGTTGGTGGGGAATATAGAGCTGATGAGGGAGTCGCAAAGTGAGCGGTCCCTGCAGAAAGCGGATTGGGATGGGGAAGGAAATATCTTTTTGGTGGTGGGGTCCGGTTGTAGGTGACAAAAATGTCGGAGGATGATGCATTGGATTTTGGGGTTGGTGGGGTGGTACGTGAGGACTAAGGGGACTCTATTCTTATTGTTGGGGGGAGGGATTTTGAGGGCAGAAGTGTGGGAAATGGGGGTGATGTGGTTGAGTGCATCCTCAGTAACAGAGGATGGGAAACTACTGTCCCTACAATAGCAGGATGTTTCGAAAGCCCTAGAGTAGAATGCCTAAACCTGGGAGCAGATGAGGCGGAGGCAGAGGAATTAAGTGTGGGATAGCATTTTTACAGGAGGGTGGGTGAGAGGACGTGCAGTCGAGGTAGTTGTGGGAGACAGTGGGTTTGAAATGAATGTCAGTGGTGAGTCAGTTTCTGGAGATGGAGACGGACCGGTCCAGGAAGGGGAGGGAAGTGTCAGAAATGGTCCAGGTGAATTTGAGGGCAAGGCAAAAGGTGTCAGCGAAGTTGATGAACTGCTCAAGCTCCTCCTGGGAACACGAGTCAGCACTGATACAGTCATCAATATATCGGAGAAAGAGGTGAGGGATGGTGCTGGTGTAGTTGCTGAAGAGGGGCATCCTACAAAGAGGCAGGCATCGCCTGGGCCCATGCAGATGCTCATTGGCACCGCTTTGGTTTGTAGGAAGTGGAAGGAATCAAAGGAAAAATTGTTGAGAGTGAGGACCAGTTCTGCCAAGCAAATGAGAATGTCAGTGGAGAGGACAGGTTAGGCTTACGGGAGAGGAAGAAGTGGAGAGCTTCAAGGCCATCCTTATGGGGGATACAGATGTACAAGTACTGTATGTCTTTGGTGAAGATAAGACGTTGAGGGACAGGGAATTGAAATTTTTGTAAAAGGTGGAGGATGCGGGTTGTGTCCCCAATGTAGATGAGGAGTTACTGGACCAAAAGGGAAAGATCGGAGTTGAGAACGGAGGAGATAAGCTCGGTAGGGCAGGGAGTCGGCAGAGACAATGGGTCGGCTGGGGCGGTCGGGTTTTTGGATTTTGGGTAGGTGATAGTTTTCCAACCCCACACCACCCATTTCTATCAGGTTGGAGGCTGTGGATGGGCGATCTCCTGCGGTGATGAGGTTGTTAATGGTCTAGGTGATGACTGTTGGTGATCAGAGGTGGGGTCATGATCGAGGGGACGGTAAGAGGAGGTGTCAGAGAGTTGGTGTCTGGCCTCAACGATGTAAAGGTCAATTCAACATCCTACCACCTTTATCGGGGGGTTTAATAGCGAGGTTCGGGTTGGAGCGGAGGGCTGCACGTTCCGATTGGGAGAGGCTGGAGTAAGTGAGAGGGGTGGAGAGATCCAAGCAATTGATGTCACAGCAGCAGTTTGAGATGGAGAGGTTGAGGGGAGGGTAGGAGGCCTGGAGGGGTTGTCCAGGATGATAGAGTTTGCTGGAGGCAGGAAAAGGGGTCATCATGGGGTGAGTTAGATTTCCATTCAAAGAAATAGGCACGGAGGCAGAGGCAGCGGAAAAAGAACTCGACATCATGACATGCATGGAATTTGTTTACATGTGGGCTTGGGGGAATGAAGGTGAGCCCTTTGCTGAGGACTGACCGTTCAGCCTCTGAGGGGGAGGTCTAGGGGGATAGTGAATACCCAGCAAGGCTTGGGGCTGGGGCTGAATGTAGAGCTGGAGCCAGGAGTGGGTGTGTGCACTAGAGCGGTCATGTGGGCGGAAGGGGAAGTTATGCGGTCATTGATGATGTTGACAGTTATGTGGTTGTTGACGTCAGCGGAAGCAGCAGAACAAAGTATTCAACTGGATTATTGCTATGAATTCATTTTTCGATTGAGAAAAGATTACAATCTGAGAAGTAGCTGCTGAAATAAACAAGAAGCATTAAACAAAAAAATACATTGGCCTGACTATTAAACAAAATAGTAGTAAATCTTTTGGGACTTTCATTTGTATTTTGATGTCATCCTACTGCTAATCCAATGCTACATCGCATCCTGCTCTGTTGAGAGAATTAAATTGTGCATTCTAGACCATGGACAGTAGATTGCAGTCAGTGCTACTGTCAAGGCAGCTGCTTCATTTGGCATTTTTCAAAATTCGGGAGTTCACTGCCATATGTTTAAGCTGGTTTGGATGTAAATTTTTGGGAATGTTGGTATCGACCTGTCCCATTAGCATTCTTATATGCTTATGTTATGTGACTTGCACTCTTCAATATCCAAGTATATGATTTTGTGATCCTTTGTACCCTAAACTAAATGTTTGTGTCCGTGAACATGTGCTGCTCAGTTTGTACAAAGCTAGAAGAGGAAGATGCATTTTGAAATGAGGCAGGGTATGAAATGCTACATTGCAGACCTGCTGAGTTTCTTCAGTTTCTGGTTTTGTTTGATTTCAGCATCTGCAATTCTTTGTTTTATTTCTTTTATGTATACATTAATTTGTATAGTTCTGCAAAGTGTTGTTGTCAGGTAATAATGTATGAAAGTGGAGTTACGTCAACATGGTATAGATTTTGCATAATATTCATCACACACATATTGCTGGATTAACACAGCCTTCCCATCCACAGCATTACCTTAAACCATGGACTCTTATTGATCGATGGTATAGAGCACCCAGTGCATAAACATCACATAACCTTACTGTAACTTGTGCTGCAAGATCATTTTGAAGGTTGAGAATATGAAGTCATTGCTGCTAGCCAATTATATCATTAGTTGTGTCTGCAACATTTGGTGTTTTATGTGATATGGTTCAAATCAATATATACGCTGTCATTAAATAGGTACTTACTACAACCGAAGGACAATGGAAACAAGTCTGCAAAATCAGAAGACTTGGGCTCACTGAGACTGTCCATATCCTACAATGAAGATTATGTGCTCCCCTCCAAGTACTACAGCTCTCTTAATGACTTGCTGCTAATGTCATCAGATGTTAAGGTAAATATTTGCAGATAAGGTCTTGGAGGCTTGTTTTTTTGTTTCTAAAACAGCTTAACAGAATGCATGTATTCCAATGTACTAAAGCAGTTCTAGCTTCTTGCTAAGTTTGAAGACGATACAAAGGTAGGTGAAGGGTCAGGTAGTATTGAGGATGCAGGGAGGCTGCAGAGGAATTGGAAAGGTTAGAAGTGGCAGATGGAGTACAATGTGGGAAAGTGCGAGGTCATGCACTTTGTTAAGAGGAAAAGAAGCATGGACTATTTTCTAAATGGAGAGAAAATTCAGAAGTCTGAAGTCGAAAGAGACACGGGAGTTCTAGTCCAGGATTCTCTCAAGGTAAACTTGCAGGTTGAATCAATAGTTAGGAAGGCAAACGCAACTTTGGCATTTATTTTGAGAGGACTTGAATATAAAAGCAGGGATGTGCTTGTGAGGCTATATAAGGCTCTGGTCAGGCCACAGTTGGAGTATTGTGCGCAGTTTTAGGCCCCGTATCTCAGGAAAGATGTACTGGCCGTGGAGCGGATTCAGAGGAGGTTCATGAGAATGGTCGAGAAATGAAAAGCTTAATATATGAGGAACATTTGAGGACTCTGGGTCTATACTTGATGGAGTTTAGAAGGATGAGGGGGGATCTAATTGAAACTTAGAGAATACTAAATGGCCCAGACCGAGTGGATATTGGGAAGATGTTTCTGTTGGTAGGAGAGACTAGGACAGGAGGGCACAGCCTTAGAGTAAAGGGAAGACCTTTTAGAGTGGAGATAAGGAGAAACTTCTTAAGCCAGAGTGTGGTGAAACTGTGAAATTCACTGCCACAGAAGGCTGTGGAAGCCAGGTCATTGAGTATATTTAAGACAGAGATAGATAGGTTGTTGATTGTCAAGGGGATCAAGGGTTACGGGGAGAAAGCAGGAGAATGGGGTTGAGAAACTTATCAGCCATGATTGAATGGTGGAGCAGACTTGATGGGCTGAATAGCCTAATTTCTGCTCCTATGTCTTATGGTCTTATAGCTTCGTATTCTGACGAGCAGCTGTTAGTTTTGCAGCAATAAAAACTTGGTGAGTTGGTGCCTGTTTCAAATACCACTGTTACTTATACTTAAGTCATAAAAGTCATACAGCAAGGAAACAAGACCTTTCGGTCCAACTTATCCATGCCAACTGTGTTCCCAAACTAATCTAGTCCCACTTGCCTGTGTTTGGCCCTTATCCCTCTAAATTTTCCTATTCATTTCATGTAGCTATCCAAATGTCTTTTAAATTTGTAACTGTACCTGCATCCACCACTTCCTCTGGCAGTTCATTCTGCATTAAAACCACCCTCTCTGAAACGAAATTGCCCCTTAGGTCTCTTTTAGATCTTTCTCCTCTCACCTTATAAATATGCCTCCTAGTTTTGAACTGTCTCACCCTAGCGAAAAGACCTTTGCTGTTCACTTTATCAGTGCCCCTTACGATTTTATGAAGCTCAGTATTGTCACCTCTCGATCTCATGTGCTCCAGTGGAAAAAGTCCCAGCCTAACCAGCTTCTCCTTTATAACTCAAACCTTCCAGTTGCGGCAACATGCTGGTAAATCTCTTTTGAACCCCCTTCAATAGATAATTTCTTCAAGATACTAACTTTGAGATCTAACTTCATTATCTTGGGGATCTAGTACAGACTACCAAATGTTGAGGTTTGTATTGAGAATCCCTTTTTGCTGAAATTTGACTGGGTTTGCACAGATATTGTTCTTGGAATATCCAAGTTTGGTTTTTGGTGTGTAAACTGCTGTTGTGTTCTAACAATGTAGATTATAATGGACAAGTCATGTCTACTTTTTAATTAACCAGCTTAGTTCCCATGGCTGACAGCACTGAATGGTACCTACTGGGTTTGTTATCTGTTTCTATTAAAAATTTTCAAATTGCTTCTTGCATTTTATTGAGAACTGTCTGTGTAAAGACAGGAAAGGCAACTGTAACTCAATAAAATACCTTGCAACAATCAAACCAGTTATTTTGTAATGGTGCTTATCCTACCTGTTTTTCTCTTTCATTGAAGCCTATATCTGCCTCAGCAGTTCATATCCTGGGTGAGGTGTGTCGTGAGAAGCAAGAAGCAGTATTGCCACTTGTACGCCTGCTGTTGCATCACAAGAAGCTGGGTCCTTTCCTTAGTGCCATAGCTGAGTTGGATCTTCAGCAGACACAGTAAGTCTGATAGTTGCTGTAATGGTTAGTCTCACTTGATTGCTAAATCCTGCGAGGAGCAGGGAGACCTTTTCTATCACTGGCTGTGATATAGAACTTTATATTAAAAGAAAATGTATTTGTGAATGGATTGAACTCGTGATGCAGTGCACTTGCAATATTTGACGGTCGCCAGTGCTGACGTGTGCGTGCATAATGCAGAGTACAGTTCCTTTAACTCTGTCCATGCGATGTATTTCAATCATACCTTCATAGCATCTGCTACTCTATGAAAATGCATTTCCATTTCTGTTAGCAATCCTTTCAGCCTCTCCAAAGATTGTCAGATATGAAGCACATAACTGTTAGAATTTATAACTACCAAGATCTTTGTTGAGGTTGTCCACATTTCCACTACATTAAGTAATCTGTTCAATAAAAGAAGAAATTAATATAGATGCTGGAAATCTGGAATAAAAGCCAAAAATGCTGAAAATGCTCAGCACATCATAATCTGTGGAGTGAAACTAAGTAAATGATGCACTGTTGCACTCTGAATATTGGTTACATTTTGGCATGCCTGTATCAGTTCACTTGTTTTAATGCTGTGACTGCGATTACATTACCACTTCCTATAATAGGGAAAACATTTGATCAGATCTCCAAGATCCATCTATTTGATGGTTTCCTGAGTGTGTTGTGGAAAAATGAGGCTACTTTTACAACAGATCTTCTTAGGTGGTGTTAGATCTCATCGTTCTCGATGAGAGCCCAAGTCCAGTAGTAACAGCTTCAGATTTTCATAGCGAAAAGATGCACACAGTTTCAGAATGTCTTAACTTATACAATTAAAACTTAGAATGCACATGAGCAACTCTCACCCATCCACCCGTTGGTCAGCAGCACAGAGTTATCTTTTTGTAACTGAATCCCTGATACAGCATCTTATACCATTCAGGTTTGCCTCAGCAATTTACTTGCTGTCCTACACAGTTTAACTGTTGATAGTCCTTAACCCAAAGGAAACCTGCCACATTCAGCAATTTAAACATATTTCCAATTAAGCTAATCATAACACTGAACGACAGAGATAGACAGGATTGTGGCCCACCCCTGGTCCTTCATGGTTTGATGTGACTAGACTCTCTCATTTACCTGTAATGATATTGGGGCTGCTTTTACTGTCTGAGACTGGTTTGAATCTTTCCTCTAATGCTTTCAGTGATTTTTTTGTTTGTATATTGGTGGATCTATAACCACTTTGGAATCTATATCTATGATTATTTGAAGGATCTTGGCTAAAACCTGCACTTGGTATTATAACAGATTGATTATATAATTCAAAAGGGAGTCACTAATTAAATGTCTTATCTGTCTTATGTGTAAACAACTGCAGCTGCATATTATATTTCAGTTCAGTGACCTTGAGTCTACAGAGCTACTATTGTTTTCCTTGTGAAGACTGCATTAAGCAAATATTTTCCCAAGCGCTCTAACTACTGTCAGCCATGTTCTGCTGCGTTAGCTGTGGACAGCTGCTCAGTCACTGGCAGTCCTAACAGGCAGGTGAATGTAGTGTGTGATAACAAGGTGTAGAGCTGGATGAACACAGCAGGCCAAGCAGCATCATAGGAGCAGGAAAGCTGACGTTTCGGGCCTAGACCCTTCATCAGAAATGGGGGAGGGGAGGGGCGTTCTGAAATAAATAGGGAGAGCGGGGGAGGCGGAAAGAACATGGATAGAGGAGAAGATAGGTGGAGAGGAAACAAACAGGTCAAAGAGGCGGGGATGGAGCCAGTAAAGGTGAGTGTAAGTGGGGAGTTAGGGAGGAGATAGGTCAGTCCAGGGAGGACGGACAGGTCAAGAGGGCGGGATGAGGTTAGTAGGTAGGAAATGGGGGTGCGGCTTGAGGTGGGAGGAGGGGATAGGTGGGAGGAAGAACAGGTTAGGGAGGCGGGGACAAGCTGGATTGGTTTTGGGATGCGGTAGGGGGAGGGGAGATTTTGAAGCTTGTGAAATCTACATTGATACCAGTAGTGTGTCCTTGCTATATAAATGTTAACTGGTGTTTCTCAGACCAATGCAATTTTAGACACTCGACTGATGGATTTTTCACGTCTTCATGAATGGGATGGTTGACGTTCATGTAACATTTTCCTTTACAAGTTACGTAATGGTTTTGTGGGGAATGGCAGACAGGGAAGTGTGTGATAGTGCAGATTGCCAGAATGATGAAGTAGACTTGTGTTTACCTGGTACTGTTTGCAAGGTGGTATTTTTCTGCAAGTTCAGGATCTTTTGATGCCTGGATCAACGGTTCTAGGTCATTGCCATAAATAAACATTTTGGATTTTGAGCAGGAGATGTCTGTCATATAAGTACAAGCAATGGCACCTGGGCTTTTAGACAATATAGGAAAATTCAATTTTAAGGTTGTTTGCACTCAAATTACTGTTAGATTTGTTGTGCATTGTGTGTCAGAATGCAACGTTTTAAGTAGTTTCCAGAAAATGTGTGAGACGCCCAATAGCAGCAGTGTGTACTGTCTACAAGATTCTCTGTAGAAATTCACCAAAGATCTTCAGACAGCACCTTCCAAACCCACTTGCATCTGGAAGGAGACGGGCAGGAGATATATGGGAACACCACCCCCTTCAAGTTCCCCTCAAAGCCACTCACCATCCTGACTTGGAAATATATCGCCATTCCTCCACTGTCACTGGGTCAAAATCCTGGAATTCTCTCCCTAAGAGCATTGTGGGTCAACCCACAGCAGCGGTTCAAGAAGACAGCTCACCAACACCTTTTCAACTAGGGATGGGCAATAAATGCTGGCCAGCCAATGACGCTCACGTCCCACAAATGAATTTAGAGAAAGTCCTGTTGAATCCTACTACTTTGTTTTTGCAGGGAAGCCAACACTATCTTCAGGGGAAATACTCTGGCCACACGCTGTATCGATGAAACAATGAAACTCGTTGGAAAGCATTATCTGAAAGTGACTCTGAAATCCATTTTAGATGAAGTAAGATGATACTTTATATCAACATGATGCTTAGTTTATTCTCATGCTGACTTCTCCATCAACAGCCAATGGAAGAGAACATATCCCATTAGTTGACTTGCTATGCAGTTATTTAGAATCAGGTTTTTAAAAGATAATCTTTCACTCGTAAATATTACTATCTTGATAACTGCTTCATCTCCATGCGGCCACTCTGTGACATCATCACTAAACAATATCGGGTTCCACTTGTGCACTAGCAATAACTCTCCCAGCTTCACCACTACCTCTTGACTCTTCCATTCCTGGGTTAATGTTGCTTGTCTGATATCCAGTAATGAGTGAGCAGAAATTTCCTCCAATTGAGTCTTAGTAAGATCAAATCTGTTGTCTTTGGTACATATTACCAACTCCCTTCCCTTGTCACTGGTTGCACCTTTGCTCCCTCACCATCTTTGAAGCTGAGCCAAACTGTTTGCAGTTTATTTGGCCCTGAGCTTAGTGCTGTATTGTCAATATCATCTATCTTGTACTAATACCTCAAATTTAAAATTCACATTTAAATATTCAATTCTTTCCATTGCTAAATTACTCCTAACCTCTGCAGTCTCATCCACTTCTGCAATCCTCCCAAGGTTTCCACTTTTATCTATTTTTGGCATCCCATGCATTCCAGATTTCCATCATTGAGAAACCATGGCATGTGGTTATCCGTTAATAAAGCTTTTAGTGATTCGGAGGTCACTGGTAAATGGAGTACACACATTGAAGTTCCATTGAAGTAACGTGACTCTGATTCCTGAGGAGCCAGAAATCCCCTCTATCCAGAGAAGGCAGGATTGCTACAGATAAGTGTAATTGCTTCCTGTATAACAGGCCCTTGTGAAAGAGATCTCCCAGTTTCAGTTTGCAAGTCATGATTCCAACTGATGGTACCTCTAGACAAGTCAGATTTCAGAATGAAATCTGGCCTGATAGATCATATGTTTTGCTTTTCTATTTTAATAATTAACGTGGTGGTCATTCACCAAAAAAGTCACATGGGACTGCAGTTTCTTTAACAACAGAGCTTTCTTAGACAGAAGACAAAAACAAAAATGAAAAACAAACAATCCAAGCCAACTAGATATAGAACACAGTTAGAAAAGTCTTATTGTACAGATAAGCAAGTCTCACCCTGTATACCGACAGGAAAAGAGATGTAAAACCAGATAAATCATCCCTCTGTATTGGATCTTTAGGTTTGACTTTACTGATTCTCCCTACTTCTTTGCTGTGAACTATGAAGTTTCTTAACATGAATACTCAAGACTGAGAGCTTAAACTTTTTCGGCTTTTACTAACGTGCAGATTTCTAACCAAACACTCAGTTTGGAAGTTTCACAAATTAAACTTTTATACCAAGGTACCTCTGCTTTCCCAAACTGTCCATTACTCCTTTCTAGAAGAGAATCCTAGATTTGCTTCTGACCTAGTCAAATCTCCTCCTAAACTGCTTAAAAGCTTAAGCTGTAAGCTGTAACCCATCACAGTGAAATCGGTTTTCCTTTAAAACTCCAGCAGGTCCCTGCTTTCTGACGTACTGGAACGGGTCTACTGGAAGGGCTGTCTTACATGGGTTTTGTTTTGAACCCTTTAGAAAAGTAACCCAAATGCCTTAATTTAAAATGCAAACTTTAAATAAATATAATTTTATATATGTAAAAGTCAGACCCTGTTCATCAAATTTTAATAACCTGCTTCATTGACTAATAAAATCTATATCTGTTTTAGAATGCTCATTATCCTCACTTGAGATAATTGAAAATTTTTTTTAGATTTGTGACTCCTGTAAAACCTGTGAGATTGATCCTGTTAAGCTAAAGGAAGGCGATAATGTTGAGGTGAATAAGGTATGTGTATTTTCCAATAATTACTCAATTTTTTAGTATATAATCCATACAGATGGGAAAGATTGGTTTTATAATGTACCATAGAACAGTTTGAATAGATTATTTTATCAGACTCTTTCAAACATAACATTATAGCATAAAGGCAAAATACTGCAGATGCTAGAAATCTGAAACACAGAATGCTGGAGAAACTCAGCAGGCAGCACCAGAGTTAATATTCCAAGTCCAGTATGACGTTTCTTCAGAACTAATGTTTAATGTGAAGGCACAAAAACAAAAACAAAGTTGCTGGAAAAGCTCAGCAGGTCTGGCAGCAGCTGTGAAGGGAAGAACAGAGTTAACGTTTCGGGTCCGGTGACCCTTCTTCAGAATTGAGTGTTCTGAGGAAGGGTCACCGGACTCAAAACGCTAACTCTGTTTTTTTTACTTCACAGATGCTGCCAGACCTGCTGAGCTTTTCCAGCAATTTTGTTTTTATTCCTGATTTACAACATCCGCAATTCTTTTGGTTTTTATTTAATGTTAAGGCACCTTGATTAACCAGACTCTCTTCACTTTTCTGGTTACTTGCAACAAGAAAATTATAATTCTTGAATATTAGTGACAAGGGCAAATACTATTGTCAATACTGAAAACAAAAACTGCTGGAAATCATAGCAGGTCAGGCAGCATCCATGGAGAGACAGCAAGCTAGCATTTCAAGTCTCTCTCTTTTTTTGTTGTCGGTACAAATGCCAGCATCTACAGTAATTTGCTCCTACTATTGTCAATGATTGTGCTAGCAAACCGCTGTCTTACAAACTTGCATGCAACTGAAACTGGCAAGCATTGTCACTGTGCGAATGTACTAATTTTTAAAAAACAAAACTCCTCTAATCCCTGACTTGCTCAATTCTGGTGATAGTCAGCCTGCAGTTTCACTGGCAATGTTGTAGTCATCGAAGACAAAATAACTGGTGATTACGTACTGTTTTTAACTCATGTCAATGGTCCATGGTTAGTATCAGCAGAAATATGTGGTCAGTACTGATTGTGATGAGTCCCAGTTACATTTCAGTGTGAGCTAGCATTGTTGAATCAAAGTGTTGCAAAAATTCAGCCGGTCTGGCAGCATCTGTGGAGAGAGAATGATTAAAGTTTTCAGTCTGTTGTGACTCCTCTTCTTAACATTTTGACTCAATGTTAACTCTGTTTCTCTCTACACGGATGCTGCCAGACCTGCTGAGTTTCTGCAACACTTTGATTTTATTTCAGACTTCTAGCATCCGCAATGCTTTGCTTTTATATTTATTGTTGAATCATCCAGGTAAATGCCAGGTAATGTTGATGGTAAGAGCTTGAGAAGTGACTGCAACTGGACAGGGTGAGAACATGTAGTTCAAGAATGGCAGAGCAGTAATCAGTGGTGATAATCTACACATCCTTCTGGTATCCTTTCCATTACCCTTTCCATCAGTTGAGCTAGAATTCAAATGCAAACAATAGCTTAATTCAGTTTATTTTCAAATTTGCAGGAGAACCTTCGCCAGTATGTTGAAAGAGTGTTCAATGTGATTGTCAAGTCCAGTATGAGTTGTCCCACACTAATGTGTGAGGTGTTTAATTCACTACAAAACTTGGCGAGGAAGCAGTTTCCAGGTAAGAGATAAAAATCATGTTTCAAACAAGTTGTTTCTTCTCAACCGTTTTTGTGAAACCAAATGTTATAGCTTAAAACTAAAAGTGAACTCCAAGCTGTATTTGGAGTTTGGTCACAGATCAGTCCTATATTCAGTGAATAATTGAACAGGTTTGAGGGGCTAAATGGCCTTACTCCCTGTACCCATGTTCCTAAAATTATGCTGTGTTGTATCTATGTTTTATTATTGGAGTCGTACAGCATGGAAACAGATCTTCGGTCCAACTAGTCCATGCCAACCATAATGCCAAAACCCAAACTAGTCCCACTTGCTAGCGTCAGGCCCATATCCTTCCAAAACTTTCCTGTTCATGAATATATCCAAATGTCTTTTAAATGTTGTAACTGTTCCTGCATCCTCTGGCAGTTCATTCCACATTCGAACCACTCTCCATGTAAGAAAGTGGCCCCTTGTCCTCTTTAAATCTTTCTCCATTCACCTTAAAAATATGCCGTGGCACCCCCCCTCCCCGTTTTGAACTCCCTCACCCTAGGGAAAAGATCTGTTAGATGTCATATCTTTCAATGAGAGTCTGAGTTACGGGAGGAGACTCCAAATATGCCTTTTATTTGTGTAGTACTGATACTGCATACAGCACAAAAAAGGCACAAGGGCACAATAGCACACAAGAAAAAAAACAGGACCAAATATCAAATAATTAGAAAATCAGAATACAGAAAATCATGAAAATAACATTAATAAGAATATCGCAGCCTTAAAATTTTTGTCTTTATAATTATATCTTAAAAAAGAGAGAGAAAAAGATAGAGAGGTATTTGTGGTTGCCATTAACTATTTGTTATCTGGTTTGAATCCTTTTATGAACTAATCTGGTTTTATAATTATTGATTAATTAATAATGTGAGATCTAGAATTGTTTTAAAGTGGCAGTTGTTTTATCTATGGCTTACAGAATGTTCTTCAAATATGTGTACTTGCTATGACTGTTCCATTGTTCAAATATTTTTACCTTGAAAATGTTAGTTTTATTATGTGATAGTTTTAGTTGACTGACAAAATGTTATTGTCAGCAATATTTGTGAGCAGCCATCCTTTGCTATTCAGTGACTGGCAAACTGTTGCCCATCTTATGCTACTAAGTGAAAGTTGGCCCTATCAGGATCCTTGTCATTCACCTTAACAATTGCCCCTCCTGATTTTATAACCCCTATAAGGTCAACCCTCAACCTCCTATGCTCCAGTGAAAAACGTCGCAGCATATCCAGCCTATCTTTATAACTCGAACCTTCCATTCCCGGTAACATTCTGGCAAATTTTTTGAGCCCGGTCCAATTTAATAATATCCTTCCTATAACACAGTACTCTAGAAGAGGTCTCACCAACAAACTCAACATGACATCCCAACTACTATACTCAACGGTCTGAGCAATGAAGGCAAGCATGCTAAACGCTGCCTTAACTACCCTGTCTACATGTGACACAAATTTCAATGAAATATGTACCTGAATCCATAGATTGGTCTCCTTTGTTCTACAACATTACCCAGGGCCCTACCATTAATTGTATAAATCCTGCCCTTGTTTATTTTACCAAAATGCAATACCTTGCATTTATCCAAATTAAACTGTCTGCCACTCCTAAACCCATTGACCCAATTGATCAAGATCTCTTTGTAACCTTAGATAACCTTCTTCACTCTCCACTATACCATCAATTTTGATGTCATGCGCAAACTTACTAACCATGTCTCCTAAACACTCCTCCAAATTGTTTATATAAATGACAAACAAAGGTGGACTGATCCCTGTGGAACACTGCTGGTCACAGGCCTCCAGTCTGAAAAGCCACCACCATCCTCTGTCTCCTAATTTCAAGCCAATTTTGTATCCAATTGGCAAGCTCTCCCTGAATCCCATGTGATCTAACTTTATTAATTAGTCCAATGGTACCTTGTCAAAGGCTTTACTAAAGTCCACATAAACCATCTCTACCGCTCTGCCCTCTCAGACTTTTTGGTTACTTCCTCAAAAAATTCAGTCAAATTTGAGAGACACTGTTTCCCTCAGAAAAAGCCATGCTGACTGCACTTAATCAGTCCTAGCCTTTCCAAATTAAGTAAATCCTATCTTTCAGAATCACCTCCAATGTCAGACTCCCAAATCTATAACTCCCAGGTTTCTCCTTACAGCCTTCCTTAAAGAAAAGCACAAGGTTGACCACCTTCCAGTCCTCCGGCACCTCAACCATTGTTATTGATGATACCAATATCTTTGCTAGGGGTCCTGCAATTTCTTCTCTAATTTCTCACAATGTGATCAGGGACTGAAGATTTATCCACCTTAATGTTTTCTAAGACCTCCAGCACTTCCTCTTCTGTAATGTGAACTGTTTTCAAAACATCGATTTCTCTGAGTCCTGAGCCTCCATTTCTTTCAACAGTAAAAACTGATGTGGAATATTCATTTAGTATCTCTCCCATCTCCTGAGATTCAAATATATAGGTGACCTTGTTGATCTTTAAGGGGCCCTATTCTCTCCCTAGTTGCTCTTTTTCTCTTCATGTACTTGTATAATCTCTTCCGGTTATCTTTAGCTTTATCGACCAAGGTTATTTCACATCCCCCTTTGCCCTCCTGATTTCCCTCTTAAGAATGTCCCTACATACTTTATACTCTCCAAGAGATTCATTTGATCCCAGTCGTCTATATCTAATATGACTGTTTCTTATTCTTGACCAGAACCTCAAACTTTTAACCATCCAATGTTCCCTAATCTTAGTAGCCTTAACTTTCACTCTAACAGGAATATAACGCCTGTGAACTATCGTTATCACATTTTTGAAACCCTCCCACTTGTCAGTCGTCTCTTTACCTGCGAACAGACTACTTCAATAACTTCTGAAAGTTCCTTCGTGCCATTAAGATTTATCTTACTCTGATTAAGTACTTTAATGAAAGGCCTATCCTTTTCCATAGTTACTTTAAAACTAATAGTTTTATGATCAGTAGTCCCAAAGTGTCCCCCTAATAACACTTCAGTCACTTGCCCTGCCTTATTTCCCAAGGTAATGATAGACATTTAGAGTAGTATTTTCACAATACCCTTCTGCATCCAAGGTTTTTTGTTCTTTTGAGCTGTTCAGTCTTGTAAAGTGAAGCCTAACTTAGACTTAGGTAACTAACTTAGACTTAACTAGGTAAACTGCAGTGGTTCCAGAAGGCTGCTGACCACCACCTTCTTGAGGGCAATAAATGCTGTCCAACCAGCGAAGCCCACATCCCACAAACGAATAAAAATAAGCTGAAAATCAAGCTCATATGAGCATACATTAAAGCACGTGAATTGGGAGGAGGGATAGGCTATTCGGTCCTTTAAGCTTGTTCCACCACCTATTAAGACTGTGGCTGATCTGATAATTCTACATTCCTCCCCCCCCCCC